ACAGGGCTGGGGTCAGGGCTGTCCCTGGGGCTCACAGGGCTGGGGTCAGGGCTGTCCCTGGGGCTCACGGCCCTGCCTGTGCTCTCTCCACAGATTCCGTGGATGCCGCCAAGACCAGCAAACTGGTGAGTGCCCCCAGTGCTTCGGCACCGCTGAAGGCTTTCGTCCCTTTGGGAAGAGCACACGGACACACACGTTCAGCTCAGTGCTCTGGGATAAAGTGCCCATGGAAAAGTGAATTTATTCTGAGCCCATGGGAAACAAGGTGTAAAAATGTCATTTTCGGCCACTGGCCGGGGATTGGTTGGTTCCTGAGGGATCACCCAGCGCCAGTCCTGGTGTTCCATGTTTTGATCTGAGTCCAGCCAATACTGCAGCATTCCCTGGCTGCTTCCTTCAAACCCTGATCCTCATGAAATCATGGAATGGTATGGGTTGAAAGGGACCTTAAATCCCATCCAGTCCCACCTGACACCTTCCACTATCCCAGGTTGCTCCAAGCCCTGTCCAACCTGGTGTTGGACAGTTCCAGGGATGGGGCAGCTCCAAGGACTCTCTCATCCCACAGGAAGAGTGCATTCCTTGGAATAAGTGACATTGGCTCTCTCTGGCTTCTGCACCTCCGAGTGTCTTTATCCGGGAGCTCCAGTGGCTCCTGGGACATGGATAGAGACATGTCATATCCATTTGGGATGGGCATTTCCTAAGGAACAGGAAACTGGAGCAGGTTCCTGTCTCCAGGTACTGCTGAAATCCACCCAAGCAGCTGTGCAGGTGTGGGATAGTGAGGAATCATGGAATTCTGAGGTTGGAAAAGCCCCCTGAGACCGTGGAGTCCAGCTGGTCCCCAGCACTGCCCAGGTCACCACTCCTGGGGAGCAGTGATGGCACTGGGTGATCCTGGGGACACAGAGGATGGATTTGTGTGTTTGGGGTAGAAACTGGATTTTCCTCAGGGACAAACTGGTCCAGCTGGGGTGTGGGAGCTGTGGGAAAGGAGATGGCTCCCCTGGGGACAAGGGGCTGCTCCCGTGTGTGGCACCTGCAGGGCTGGGTCGGGGCACATCGAGGCCCAGCCTCCTGCACTGCCATTCCAGATAATTCCCAGGAGTGGGAATTCTCCTCCCCATCCTGCTGTGGAGCCGGGTGCTGGGTCAGAGTCAGCGTCTGGGCACAGCTGGGATGGGATGGAGCAGCACTGTGGGTGCTCCAGGGGGCTCAGACCCCGGGGATGTGAGCTGCAGCCAGAGGGCAGGGTAGAGGAGAATTCCCTTCCCTGTACTAAAGGGATTTGGGAGGTTTTTTTGGTTTTTCCTGCTGTGTGCTGGCAGGCCCCTGGCACTGCTGGGGCCTGTGCCCCATGTGTTCCCTGCCTGACCCACAGCATCGAGGCTCCCACTTTAATTATACCCCGGAGTTAATTAAAAGGCAAAGAGTATTTAGTAAGTGAAATCAGGATGCTGAAATGGGGATTGTTCTTGGAATGTTTTGTGCTGCTGGTGTGGAGAAGGGATCAGGACAGGAGGTGCTGCTCGATGCACTGCTGTGCTCCAGGGCATTCCCACTGGTTTGGTGTGGAACCATGGAATGGTTGGGAGGGACCTTAAATCCCATCCAGTTCCATGGGCAGGGACACCTTCCACTGTCCCAGGTTGCTCCAAGCCCCATCTAACCTGGCCTTGGACCCTTCCAGGGATCC